AAAATATTGGACTATACCTATTATTTAAGTGGCATAGATAAGTGCACTTTTTCCGGCCTAGACCTAAACTCTTCTGTGGTGACATTGAGGTATTTAACTAGCCGGAAACCGTTATCGCGAATATTACCTTTTTCAACTAAGTTGCTGTTTTTTCGACTGTTGATATGTCCCTGCACACTGGGAATCCTGAATATTAAAGTTTCCTTATGAATTTACTCCTGAAAATTCTATAAATAGTTATATTTTTGCATATTTTTGATACTAACCCATAAATCCCTATTGAGCTGATGCATAAGTTGGTTTAGAAATCATTTTTTCAAAGCCACTGAAATAAAACCACAATTTACAGACGACCTTTAATCAACGCTAAAATGCTTCTTAAAAACTTCGTTCATTTATTAGGGTAGAAATAGGGTTGCAGATCAGCGAGAACAAGGGTTATGATCACAAGTTTTCACTGTGATCTAATACCGAATATCTTGGAATACGGATGAGCAAATTTAGCTTCAAAGTTCAAGACCAACGACCTCAAAATCTAGTTGGCTCGTTTATAAATTTTAGTTTTGCGGAACCAATTAATCTACAAGTGAAGTGTAATTACAGCTAATACAAATAAAATGGACACACCGAATATAAAGTTAATGCAGTTTACGCTACACAGCGAAGTATTGATTTAGTATTTTATTATAATTACATAACGTTTAAGATTTCTGTATCGTTTTTGTTTCTAAAGTAGTTTTGTTGTCAGTACTTTTGAGTACTTTGTTTTTTTTATCGTATCTGTTAGTACTTTTTGGTTCTAACGATCCACAGTTTTCTTCTTTTTTGGTCATAGATTATTTTTTGTCCCTGAGTATTTTTGCATCTAGTTCTTTCTAAAAATAACCCGTGTTTAAATGACTGGACAGTGCAAAAAAAGTAATTGCCAACGCCTGGGCTGTCGTTATCCTGTTGAAAGCGGCATGCAGTGCGATGAGTGCAAAGGATGGTACCACGAACTTTGCACAAATTTAATGCCTGCAGCTTTCAAACGGTTCAGTAGGAATGGTTGCGTATGGCTCTGTCAACAGTGCTGTTCGGATGCTAACAGCTTGCTAACCGAAGCCATTTCATTGGTTAGTGCTGCTAAAAAATGTTTTGGCAAGAGTGGTTGCGACACATCATCAAGTAATCGCTCCGTTGACACGCAAATTGGCGTGAGGCAAACTAAAGTGAGTTCGAAAACAGATGTATCGCACCGACCAAAGGAGGGAGAACAGTCCCCAAAGAGTTCTGTCCGCACAAAAAACTCAAGGAAAAAATTTTCCTCTGTCCCACGTCCTCAAAATGGTATCCAGAAAGAAACACATAGAAGCCGCAACCGCAAGGCTCGATCAGTTTCTAAAGGGACACCAAACCTGACCTCCCAAGTCATCGAAAACCCTCCGGAATCCCACAGTATGTTTGACGCGACTGTGGTTGCTTCTCCAAGCAACGTTGACAAATGGGTACGGGTTGTGAGGAAGAAACAGAAGAACGCTATAAAAGGGAACCATGCCTCCACAAAAGAATTGGAAAAATCGAAGGCTGATCACAGAAACAGGTCAGTCATTTTTCATAGGATCAAGCAGAGCGAAAGCTCCGAACCAAAAACTCGTTTTGAGCATGAGATTGTCCTGATAAAACAGCGACTTAATCAACTCATGCCTCAAAATATCTCCGGAGTCACCTTGCTAAAGGTGTATAGACTAGGTAGTTTAGCGAACCTGAAGCCTAATCAATCTAGACTGCTTAAAGTAGTTTTCAAATCTTCGAATGAAAGGGACTTATTTTGCAGAATGGACATAAATTAAAGGGTTCGGGAGTTTTTATCCGAAAGGACTTGCCGTTGGCAGACCGTGTAAAAAGACGGGAAGCCGAAAAAGAACTACAAATGAGGTTAGACGCTGGCGAAAAGGACCTGAAAATTGTAAATTTTCGGGTTGTGAGGCTTCGTCAGAGAATGATGGCGAAGCCACTCTGGGTGAAACACGAAGCCACTTAAATAGGCTTCGGATCTGTTACACTTATTCCCGAAGCTTGCTCAATAAGCTATCGGAACTTGGTGAACAGATTGACTCGACAAAGCCAGACATAGTCGCAGTCACAGAAACCTGGCTGACACAGTCTATAGATAATATGGAACTCGATTTCGAGGGTTTTACTTTAGTAAGCGTAAAGGAGGGGGAGTAGCTCTATTCATTAGGAATGCTATCCCGTTTGTCATTATTGATAGTGTATCCCATGAAAGTGGGACGTGTGAATTGGTTAGTTGCCGCTTGAAATTCAAAGAGCAAGAGCTGCTAATTGGTTTGGTCTATCCCTGTCCAAGCTGTGAGGTAAATGATGTCCTATTAAACAGGCTCAAAAATTGGTCGCGAAGTGGTCGATGTCTAATCCTAAGGGACTTTAATGCACCTATGGTAGAGTGGGGAAATCTGCGAACCGAATTATCAGATAATTCCTTCGAGCAGGAACTAGTTGATGCGGTTATATCATGTGCCCTTGTGCAACATGTGAAAGAAGTGACTAGGTACGACCCGGACACTGAATCATTCTTACTAGATCTTATGTTAACTCACTATGAGGATGACGTTGCGAACCTCCTTTACATGCCACTCCTAGGTAAAAGTGATTATGCAGTTTTAACTTTTGACTTCCATATAACTGTCAATCACGAGCAAGCGTCAACTCAATCCAGACCTAACGTTTGGAAAGCAAGCATACCGGATATCATGCACTCGGCATCATTAGTAGATTGGACAATAGACCCAGAGTCCTCAATTGAAACGGCTTGGGATGCATTCCGAAATTTTTACTTAAAAGTTACCGCACCCCACATTCCTTGGACTATACCAAGGGGGCCGAGAAACTCCCCACCATGGTTCAATAGGGAGAAGAAAAATGTGGGATAGATTTAGGTTACTGTGGACTGATGAGACAAAATCTCAGTACCGAAAATCTAGGAATACCTGTGCCTCGACCCTCCGTAAGTCTAGAAAGCTGTACGAAGAAAAAATTTGTTAAGGAATCCATAGAATGTCCTGAACGCCTGTATTCATATATAAACCAAAGGACAAAAAGAAGAAGAATTATTCCTGCACTATGGGGAGACAGTACTGCCACATCATTAGTGGAAGATGACTTTGGTAAGGCTGAAGTGTTCTCAAACTACTTTAGCAATGTATATACCATAGAAGCACCCTTCCCGTCAGCGCATACAAACCCCACACACATACACTGGATAGCGTGACCATAAATGAACTCGATGTCTTTGATCTGCTAAATAAGCTTGACATAGGTAAATCCATGGGGCCCGATGAATTGCATCCTAGGCTACTAAAGGAATTATCTAACTTCGTTGCGAACCCTTTAAGTATATGCTTTAAGCTATCCGTAACGCAGGGTCGTTTACCAAAAGACTGGAAGAACGCCATAGTAAGTCCTGTCTTCAAAACAGGTACGAAACATAAACCTGAGAATTACCGACCCGTTAGCCTAACTAGTGTGGTTGTTAAAATCTTAGAAAAGATTATTCAGAAAGAGCTGTTTAAATACGTTGATGTAAACCGAATCCTCTCGCAGAAACAACACGGTTTCAGAATAGGTTATTTTTGTCTCACTAACTTATTAGTCACTCGAGAAAGCTGGTGCGCTTTTAAGGACCAAAAGTTACCCGTAGACGTGGCTTACATTGATTTCAGCAAAGCTTTTGACAAGGTTCCGCACAACCGGCTGTTATATAAGCTAAAAAATGTCGGAATTGGAGGCAATCTATTGACGTGGATAGAAGACTTCCTTGTTGGGCGGCAACAAAGAGTACGGGTAAACTCAAAATTATCTAGCTGGGAAACTGTGCTTAGTGGAGTGCCCCAGGGTACAGTTTTGGGACCAGTGCTATTCCTCTTGTATGTAAATGACCTTCCTCGCTTACTATCATCATCGGTCTTGCTATATGCTGACGATGTCAAGATATGGAGAACGATAAGATGTAAGGGTGATAGCTTAGAACTCCAAAATGACCTGAAGAAATTATCCGAATGGTCTCATACATTGCAGCTGCCGATAAATACTTCCAAGTGTGTTGTGATGCATATCGATCATCAAGGTTCAGATACATACACGATGAATAACACTGAGCTACCTGTTGTCCGGACACATAATGACTAAGGAGTCATCGTTAGCCAAGATCTGAAAACTACTGCACACTGCCGAGCAATAGCCGTCAAAGCTTTTAGAACTTTATGGTCAATACGTAGGGCTTTTACTCATGTCGACGCTCAAACGTTTCTGACTTTGTATACAGTGTTCGTACGTCCTAAACTTGAGTACTGCATACAAGCGGCTAGCGCCTGCTTAGAAAAAGACAGTGAGCTTTTGGAAAAGGTCCAGGGAACAACAACTAAGCTGATTCTCGTAGTAGCGAAGCTTCCGTATGATGCTCGACTGGCCAAGCTAAACCTATTCCCTTTGTCATATAGTAGAACTAGAGACGACTTGATTACAGTTTTCAAATTGCTTAGTGATAAATTTGCACCTGATATGCCCTCATCTTTCCTGTCTTCCAAAACAGAGAATTTACGAGGACACTCCAAAATAGTTCACAAGCCCAGAACAAATTAATTGTCAGCTGATTATCGACTTTCCCACCGAACATCAACGAGTGGAATTCATTAACTCAACACGTGGTTGAAGCTCCATCCGTAGATTCTTTCAAAAGAAAGTTGGATCAACTGGGAGAACACAATTGCCAGGACTAACACAGGCCATCAAGCCTCCTGTCCTTTCCAAACTGAAACTGAAACTGAAAGTATAAATCGTCAAGTTCATTCGAGGTAGTGGAGTCGATTAGATAAACTATCATGACAAAAAACCACTGAAAACCTGAAGATACATGTAAACGTCAAAAGTTGAAAGGCTAGAAATCACCAAGTTTGCACTTGTTAATCATAATGACTTTGGATATTGGAACACTACTTCTAAGGAGCGGATTTGAACGCTTGCGTCTTTCAAGGTTGCATCTGATCTCGTGTTGTAGGTTTGCTTGTACGCTGAATATTCCTAATTACGTCAAAGTATAAAAAGACATGAATTCAACGCATTTGCTGTTAAATTACTGCTGAACGATTTGACGCAAATAAATAAAGTTTTTAATCGGTTCAAACCCATTTGCTAAGATTTTCCTATAATTTTGCACCTAATAGGAGCAAAGTTGCGGGTATTTTGAGGAATTTAAGACAACACAGCATGAAAAAGACATAGTCAGCCTGCATTCACTGTTATCAAGGCCAGGATTATAGTGTGCCGACTAATGTTTATTCCATATCTTTGTGGCGCGCTAATTTATGCCAAATCATTATTTAATCTCGAATCTCAGTGTTGATGGTTAATATTCCGGGTCTTCGGTGAGATATATTTACCTTAAAGTAACACCATTTTATGTAGGAGGTGTTTTGCATGAGTATTAGTATTCAATTTTAGCCGTAGTGTTTATTGTACAATACGATGAGACTTAAGCGGTGCTATTGACCCTGAAAAATCTCACATAATAGAGTCGAAAGTGGTTTATAAATTAGCGTGAAGAATTAGAAGCAGAAAATGGATGTTAGTGTTTTCATTACAAGCTGACAACAGCTAGAATACCGAAATGCGATTTACCCATACGGGTAGATAAATTTTGCGCCTTAACCCGAAAGTTGCTGTCCTACATCACATGGTATGTCCGTAAATTATGGTTTTATTCACAGTCATATACTCTAGTGGTTATTATCATATCCTTGCCAATTGATGTTTCCAAATTCTACAGCTCAGACTGCGGTTCTACATGCCTTAAATGTCGCTGTCGCCACAATTAACGAATGTCCACCAACTGACGAGTTAGTTAATTATTTGCTCACTTGATCATCTCACTATACACCATCACCGCTTCTAGACGTCGATAAACCAATATTCAAATCTCATGCATACTTTCTGTATTCAGATATATTCCACATCACTAAGGTAGGGAAACGAAAGGTTGCTCATTATACTCCTTTACTGCAAATAACGGTTTCAATCATAGCAGTTTTGATATTAAAGTATCAACAATTTTGTTGTCTTTCTCTTTTTGGTAGTTTGCAGTTTATTTAATCTTCACATGAAGTTGACAGATACATGCAGCAAACTCTATAAACGCTCTACAACTCATTTTCCAGACCTTCAATACTATAAGTATGATTATCGCAGAGCTCCAGTTCTTAAAAATTCAGTGATTGGAAAAGGTGATAGGACAAGAAGTAAACCATTATTGCAATATCTATAACCGTCGTGCCTTTTTATTTAAGGAGCTGTCTGTGTCGAAGAAATGTTATCAATGTTAGCTTGCTTGAAAGAAAGTGATTTTGATCAACGTCCTTGTACACAAATGATAGACACATTTAATAAATGCGTCCAAATAATGGAGGTTTGTTTCAATCATACTGGATTTAATTTATCGGTTATTTATTTAGGATAAGCGGAGAGCAAATAAGAATATGCAAAAGTCAGAAGTCGTATCGACTTCTGACAAGTCAAATAGATCATTTGAACGATTATCATCAAAACAAATTACTGAACTACTAAGACGCTTTCCTGAACCTCAGTAATATTTCAGCTCAATGTTTGTACATTTGTAGTAACTATTCATAGCACTGATCAATATATTTTCTTTTTTTTGTGAAAATATAACCATTTAAATTTAACTTTTACCTGTAAATTTATGTTTTGGAACGTAGATATAACTTAAGTTGTAACCCAATTCTTTAATTGGATGGTTTTGTGGTGTTTTTCATTAAAAGGTTGTGCCTCAAAGGTACACAAGCCTTGTATAGGCTCTTTGTTTAGATATTACGGATTAAATCAGGAATGGTGGTAAATAGTCATCAGAGTTATCCATCTCAATTGGTATTAGTCAGGTTTACTTACTATTTCTATTTTTGATTTACTTTCTTCACTTAGCTTTTTAGGGATCAGTCTTCATCTTAGAGATTCACTCGTCTACTTAGAGTACTTAGATGACATTGTCTTGTTTGAATGCATTGACGAAATTCGGTCTTCTAAACGTCTTGAAAAACCTTACAAGAAAGTTAAGCTGCGTTTCCCTCCCTTTAAATACAAAATGTTTATTCAGGATTGGTCTGCACTAACGCCTAGATTGATCATATAGAATGAAATATTTGTTTGATGTGAGCATTTTTCATACCTTGGGAGTCCCGACCGTAGCTGCTACCTTGACGTGGTGGTCGGGCTTGCCTATCGTGATGACCCAACCGAGCTATATTGGCTGGAACACATGTTCCTGCAGGTTCTACCATGCCAGGCAGGTCGATTGAAGAACGGTAAGACTAAAAGCAGCAACTCAAGGTCTGAGGGCGAAGTCGTACTGCTGACTGTACAGAGGTGTGACAGCAGTAAGGTGTTTCCCTCGGACAACCAGCATCTGCAGCGATGCTGCCTTCTCACAAGGAAGGAAGGGGTTAGAAAAGGTTGACCCTAAAAATGTCACACCTCACCTTACCCCACGGATTTCCGTCTCCGGCGGTAAGGCCCTTTGAAGAACGGAGATAACACATTAAAAACCTCCCACAAAAAGGCCGTGTGCGACCGGCCTCAAGCAGTTGTCCCTTGTGCTCTGCGGTCACGCACTCAGGTCGCTAAGACCACTAATCCGATTTCCTTTTCAGGTTCCTCAAGAAATACCCTTCCACGGTGTGGGCAGCCGGGAAGTGACATCAGCCCTCATACCCGTAACAGCACACGAGACCAAGTTGGTCACATTCAAATCCTTCCTACACCACCTAGTAACTCTCTTATCTCCACGACTAACCCTTCTTACGTCCTTTTATCACCTCGCCCCGCTAGTGCGAACGATTCGAGTACGCGGAATGTTATTCCTGGTCTCCTGAAACCACGCTCCAAACTACACGTAGGAGCTTTCAACGTCCGAACACTGTGCCAAATAGGACAACAGGCTTCCTTAGCTAGAACTTTAGAATCTCGCTCCATCGATGTGTGCTGCGTCTCCGAAACGCGCACACAGGATCTTAGTAGTGTCATTCATTTGACCGCACCATGTCAAAGTAACAAACCAACTCGATTTACGCTTCGTGTATCTGGAAGCCCTGATGCTGCTTCCCGTGGCCTAGCTGGCGTAGGTATAGAATTGAGTCCTAGGGCAGAACTAGCTCTCTTAGACTGGATCCCAGTAGACAGTCGTTTGTGTGCTGTCCGACTAAACGGAACAGTAAGGACTCAAAAAGATAGGGACACTTGTCGTTGCCTCTTTGTCGTCTCTGCCTACTCTCCCACTGACTGCAGCTCAAATGATGTAAAAGATGAGTTTTACAGAAAGCTTTCCGACCTTCTCCGAAAAGCTAGGCGTTCAGATGTAGTAATAGTGGCTGGTGACTTTAATGCTCAAGTAGGTAAACTAAACGAAAAGGAAAGACACCTGGGTGGATCTTATGGTTTTGCGGCTCAAAGAACAGATAACGGCGACCGTCTGTTGCAGCTATGCTCAGATAACCGCCTGTTTCTTGCAACTTGCGTCATTTATGGCGTAGGCGAGATATCCGTCTATCAACCAAAGGACGTGTTTACTGTGCAGCAGTTCGTTCCGTCCTACTTTATGGCAGTGAAACATGGCCAGTAAGAGTAGAGCATATTCGTAGGTTACTAATATTTGACCATAGGTGTCTTCGAAACATCGCTCGTATATCCTGGGACCACCGAGTAAGTAATGCAGTTGTTATGAAACGGGTACTAGGTAAGGATGGCAAATCAATTGAGGAAGTAGTGAAACTTAATCAATTGAGATGGCTGAGACATGTGCTGCGCATGCCCGACCACCGACTGCCCCGACGTGCTATGTTTTATGGTGTAGGAGTAGGTTGGAAGAAAGCTAGGGGCGGCCAGACCAAAACATGGCAGAAATCCATGAAGTCACTGACAAATGGACTGAGTCATGTTGGTAGGTGTAGACTACCTGGTTGGGGACCGCGAAACGATAGCAACCGATGGTTAGAGACCTTGAATGACATGGCTCAAAATCGTTTGCAATGGCGCAGGTGCATCCACTCCTTGTATTCGCCCCAATTATAATCTTCTGAATTCTTCATGTCCTTTATTTTTTTTCCCAATGTATTCCACTGGACTATACTCCTTTAATAACATCATCAAACCTTAATGTCCCCTATCTCTACTTATACTTTCAGTACCTCTACCACTATGGGATTTGAATCGATAACTGAATCTCTGTGCTAATGTGGTATGGCAACTCGAACTGATGTACGTACGTACGAAGTTCCACGTTGTTACTGACTGACTGACTGATACCTTGGGAGTCTCGAGCCCTGATGGCGTGGTGGCCGAAAAAGTCTTGGTGAGGATTTAGAACGTTCCTTCGGCTTTCACAAACATGCCCCGCTTGCGTAGATGAGATTTTCATTTACCAATCAAAGGACGAGTATACTATACGGCAGTTCGCCCTGTTTCGCTTCATGGATTTAAAACGACATTGGGATGTAAAGGACGTTCACAAGTTACAAATATTTAGTCGTAGGTGTATTCAATACATTCTTCATGTATCATGGAGCCATCAGTTAAGCAGTACTGAGGTTAGACGTAGGATACTAGGTAAAGACAGCTTACCGGTTGATGAAGATAACATATATCACGTATCCCTAGCCTCATTGGCTGTTGGTCATAATAAATTTCAACTTTCAGTCGGTCATGATTGTTTTATTATTTTTAACCCTCATGAAACATATGATTCAGCAGTGATACACGTTTAAAATCTGTAATTTTGGTTATGATTGAAGATAATGAAGAAACAGTTTTGTGAGACTATAATTTATGAAAGACCTTTGAGTGACGCTAGGGTGACCTTTAGTACGTTCGGCCACTTACTAGGGGCTAAATGAGGGTTATAAAGTAGTGTAAGCAACAAGGATTGTGATTCACAATTGATGGCTATTAATCAATGCGAAGTGACGCCAGCTAGAATGCCAAAACTGTATTTAGACAAATGTGTGAATGAATTTTGCGCTGAAATCCGAGACCTTTTATCCAGAATCTGGTTGGTTCGTCCATGAGTTATGGTCTTGCCAACAGTTTAATCAGCTTTTGCCTACACTTTTCTTTCCATGTTTAGGAATCAGAGACAATATCACTATTCAGATCAATGTTTTTTCGGTATTAAAATGACACGTTTATATACAGAGTATAAACACAAAATAAGCATGATAAGATGTCATAAGCGATCGAAGGAAATTGGCTAGTAGGTCACTCATTCTCCAGGCAATTGAGACCTGACTGTTAGGTTTAGTCCTTGGGCATCGTATCATTATTTATTATTATTATATTATTTTGTTTATTTTAACACATAGGTATTGGTACAAAGCGGGACCAAATACATATGCGCCACACAAATCTCAATTGATATATGTGAGGGCTGTGATACTGCCCGGGTGCCCAAACCGAAGCAGGTGGTTTTCTTAAGGGGCCACACTCGAAGCCATTGACCTGAATGTCTGACCCACAAGGCAGTGGGGCATCGTGAGGAGATGCAGTCCCATGGTAGCCGGTGACCAACGATTGGTTCATACGCCATTTATTCCTTTAGGATACTGGAGCCCGTGTGCACCATTGGTTTGGGATCCGGTTAAAGCGCCGGACATTCGCTTTTCGTCCTCTCATTTTCGTAAACAACACCCCCGCCACGAGAAGGCAGTGAGTAGGACTTCCCTGGCAGAGGCTATATACGCATGGCCATGTGAGAGCATTTCGAGAGGGAGAGCGGACTCTCCCCACTCTCGGCCGTACCAGGGCATTTGGGGGCTTAATTCATATTATTTAGTGTACTGCGTAATCTTTAGACAAACCTTTCACTTTATTGATTTTAGTAATTGTATGTATCAGTTCCTAGGCAACCCTGTTCTACTTGAGTTTTGTGTCTTTTGACACTCTCCAGGGTATATCTTCACTTTTAGGGAAGCTGATGCTGTCATAGGGACTCGAACCCGTGTCACTCAGTTTTACAGTCCGAGATGTTACCAATAAGCAGTTTTAGGGATGACTGATGGCGTATAGGGCTGAATAGCAACTAATGTTTGTCTAGTTCTTTGTGCTGATCAACTTCTATCTGTTCAGCTGTGACTTAGCCACTTGTTTTAATTGCTTGATAGATTGTTTCTGATCATGTAGTTATTCCTGTCAGTCTATGGGATCTGCATTTATTACTGATGTTATTCCCACAATATCATTGTACAAGCGGTTCCAAGTACAGGTTTCACTCTGGTCCTTTCCAGATCTACGAAAGACCCTAAATTTGTTATCTCAATCTTTCAAAATGGACTTGCGTTAAAATCAATTGCTTCCTCTGATTTTTAATCCGGACAGAGAATTGTAGAATCCGGTGACAACTTGCTATCTTTTTGTTTTTATTATGGGAACTTTGAAACACAAATTTCTATAACAAAATATCTTACTTCTAATAATTTAAGTAGTTTGGGAAGGTCGTTTGAATTTAATCCGCGAGCTATCAGCTAATTTAGGAAGCAATCAATAGGTTAGATTTCTCGTAGGCTAAAATTTTGAAGATTATGTAGTATATTGCTGATTAAAAACCAGGTGTCAACATCCTGGTAGTTTCGCTTTCTGTGTCCGAATCCTATGTTTTATATTTTGTAGACGCCTGAGTACTAAGATAATCCTCACTTTGGAATAAAAAAACTGTCTAGCTTTTTATGTTCATTGAAT